GAATGTACAATGCACTTGGCATGAAAACCCCCTTCAGGCTGGTACTGAGTAAGTGCCACCTGTTCATCTCTCCTGAGAAAGTTACAGCACCGAACACTCATAGTGCAGTAGATATAATTCCCTATTAAGTTATTGGCATTGAGTCGGCATTCCTCAGGTCTGCTCTACGTTCCACAGTAGAGGCGGATTTTGCTATCATTCTTTAAGCATTATTGTGAATGACATATATGAGGTTAAACTGGGCTGTTTTTTAATCTTCTTAAGCCTTAATTTATTTTTACTCTGGTAAGGCCCTTTCTTCTGGCATTTTGTAGTGAAGCTTTGCAACATCATGTGCCTCTTGCTCAGTTTCTTTGTTCCAAGTGACAAAGCATTTGATAGCAGATTTAATCAATCCCACTTTTACTTGCCTTTGTAGCTAAGCACAAGTATAAATTGCCATTGCATTCTGTATGCAATATGACCACATGGGATTAATCTACATTTTAAAACTTTACTGATGATTACTTAGAGACATTGTCACCTTGTCCAGGCAGGGCAATGTGAAAATACCTGTGGCAAAGGAAATCCCCAACCCCATATACTGACCTTACCAACACACCCTTATAGATCTTTGCTCCTCTGCAGTCAGTGCTAAATTGGGCTGTATCAGCGACCTGGAGAGTGTTGATGACCATGATTGGACCTAGCAATTGGCTAATAGGCCTATGCACCATCTCAGGGGAGCAGGTCACATTCTCCCCAATACTTTGAAGTGTCAGTTAATTTCGATGGCTGTGGAGGAGTAAAACTACAAGCGAAAACAGATAAGGTGTGTATAAAGGGGGTCAGGGGATGTCCTTTGCAGAGACGTTGTCATTTGCCCTGTATGGACAGCAACAATGCTCACTTACTGTGCTGTATCTATGGCAAAGCAGTGTTGTCCTTCCAGGCTACTTGCTCTTGATTTGGACTGTAGAACACCTACTCCTCATCTCCATAACATTGAGAGGAGTTGTTCTGTAGTCTACAGAAGAAAACTGGGCAGAGCTGATGACACTGGTTGGGTTAGTGCATGACAGGCAGAGTGCACAGGAGATATTTTCTTTAAAGTAGAATGATTGATTTCAAATCATTTAGTGATCTTTTTACATCCCTTGCAAGACTCCTAGACATCTACAACTTTCTTTCTGAGGGACTTTGAGAGCTTTACTGATCTTGGCATAATGGCACAACACATGTCAAAAACAGAAAGAACGCCAGACCTTAGATGTCTGAGTTTTATATAAGACCGGTTTCAGCTGCATAGCCCTAAGGAGGTTTCAATCATTGGCACCTAATATTGACACCAGATTCTAATTCATGTATTTGAGGTGTGCATTTATGTTAATTTAGATCATGAAAATTATTACATCATTGCAAATACCGTGTTTCCCCGAAAATAAGACACTGTCTTTCATATATTTTTTTCAACGAAAAAAGACACTAGGTCTTATTCTCGGGGGATGGCTTATATTTACCTGGCTGCAGCTGTCCGCTCTCCGCTCTGATGCTGTCCACTTCGACCCCACTGGCTATGCCGCGCTTTGCCTGCTGGAAAATGTAGTCTTCAGTGGCAGCCAAGGTAGACAGGTGGGTGGGTGTGCATGTGCGCGGGGCAGGGGGAGGGAGTAATTTTTTTTAAAATAAAAGGTGGGGGAAAAAAAAGTTTATTTTTTTGTTTCGGCCGGACAAATTCTGCTGCGGTAGGTGTTGCAGTGCCTTTCATTTCCATGGCACCCTAAACGCGCCTCCCATCGACAGTGTGATTGCTGGCATTGGAATGCACGGTACCGCAATGACATGCATTCCGGTGCAGTGTGATTGCGCAAAAATTGTGCATGCAGTTTTAATCTGAAATCAACTTTATTTCCAACACTCCATTCAGTTTTAATTTTTTCTTTAAATTAAGGATGGTATTTATTTAAAAAAATATTTTTATCCGATTTAATCAAAAAAAATATCGGCCAATTAATCGATTATGAAAATAATCATTAGTTGCAGCCCTACGTATATATGTGTGTGTAACACACACACACACGCCAGATTATTATGACCACCCCATCAGTTCTTTGTTGGGCCACCTCGGGACTCTACGAGATGTTGAAAGGTGATGCGAGGAATCTGACACTGCACTGTTGCCCTTCTGTTATCTTGTACCAGTCTTGCCACTCTCCGTTCTGCCCTAACATTGACTAGTCGCTGACCGGCACAATTCGCACGCTCAGACCCAGATTTTTGGCTGACAGTCCAGTCTTTAAACACTTTAACAATGAGCCCCTCTTGAACATTTAACAAATTCTGCTGTTTTGCTGATACTCACTCCATGGCTCGCGACAACACTCATCCCACGTTCAAAGGCTGTTAAATCGCGTTGTTTACCCATATATTCAGAAACAAATCACTTCTACGGTCGTGGTAAACAACCTGCCTCCCTAATTTATAATGGTCTGGACCTCTAGCAACTTCAGCGCAAAATTATAGCTAATTTGCCTACAAACGTCAGGTGGTCATAATAATCTGGCCACTCGTGTATATATATTAGTGTATATGTATGTACAGGCTCTACTGGTATCGGCAGCAAGTTTGTTTTGTCTGCGCTTTTATTCAGCAAGGCAGCACAAGGCAAACAAACAGAATTTTGTAACCAGAGAACTGAATTAAATGTCACTTGTGACATTTCATTAAAATTCCCCAAAAAAACAAGAAAATAGTGCAATGGGTCACGATCAGCCTGTGTCAGGCCACACCAGCAGCTCCGCAGTGTAGATTGGCTGCTAGTGAGGGTGGGCCCTGAAAGATACTTCATCCAGTACCCCTTTTTTGCCGACACTGTGTTAGAAAATAAGCCAAAACCCACTGCTGTATACTGAAACAACCACTGTCTGTAAAACACACTATTTATCATAATGTATGTTTTTGTGTGTGTGTGGGACATAAAAGAACATCCTCCAGAAAGCAAGGTTAGTTACAGCTGACACTGGTCCTCGGCAATCATTTACAGTATAGACTGTTATCATAATTATCATCATCCATCATTGTCATTTTACTATTATTTACCAAGTGCAAGCTAAATGACCATTTACATTTTATTACGGAAAATTAGGATTTCTGAGCAGTGCATCTTTTTCTGAAATAATTGAACTGACACTGACATCTAGTGGAAAAAACAATTCTAGTCCCTGGAAGCCAAAGGAACAAAACAGGAAGTTTCGGCGACTTGCTTATAGAAGTGAGTTGCATTCAGCATATGGACAGTAGTTAACTCACTGACTGTCTGTCTTTTTCCATGACTGTAATAGCATTTACCTGCAACTCTTAATCGAACCCTTAACATTTTGTGAAAAATGCACGTTTTCATTTTAGTGCCCCAAAACACAAAATACCAATATTTTTTTTCCTTTCAAATAAAAAAGATGAGGTTACGATGAATAAATAGATACCGAACATGCCCAGGTTAAAAAGTGCGTGCGTCTGTGAAACGGCAACAAAACTCAGTACCCAAAAAAAGTCCATAGAAGCTTTAAAAGACCCTACGGGTCATCAGTTTAGATCCCTAAAATTATTGGTCTCACTCTGGTGCATGCGCAGTGATACCCAACATGTGTAGCGCGATCAATGTTTTCGTATCTAGGCGCACCCTATGTGTGTTTGCGTGAATGCTCGCGGGGGACTTTAAAAAAATTATTTTTAAATTTATTTAATTCTATGTTTTTTAAAAACCGTTTTTTTTTTCTTCGTTTTTTTACTTTAATTGCTATCATACGAGGGAGCTTACAAGCCCCCCATCTAATAGAATATTGGTGGTGACAGGTCCTCTTTTAAGGTGATACTGGGGGTAAAAGTCCCCTTGTGTCACCTTTCCACTTTAAATAAGCTATGGAAGTGCCGATCACACTTCAATAGCTTAATACTCTGCTTCTGGAGCACTTTACGGGCTTCACCAGCACTTTACTGGCCCATAGAAGCCATCTGAGCTGCCAGAATGGCTTCTATTGTAAAGCTGGCAGCTGGCTTTACAAAGGTAAACTGAGTCCCGGCGGCTTTCTGTTTACAGGGCTGTGCTACCAATGACGTACTATATAGGTCCATGGTCACGATGGAGTTAATGGACGCAGAAATCATTATGTTCAAGTCGTAATGATTCTTAATGCATTGAAATTGTGTTTTTCTATACATCTACGCCTGCAACTACCTACTATCAGGGGATATATCAGGGGTCTGATCAGACCCCTGATATATCCCCTTTAAAATAGAAAAAAAGAAATTGAGTCCTTAATCTCTATTTCTGTAGCCCCTGTTATGAATGAACAGGAATCTTCTATACGGAGAGCCCCTGTTCATTTATCAATTATGGAGATAGTTTGTTTACTATATCCACAATCATGAATGAACAGGAAGTGATATAGATCACTTCCTGTTCATTCATAATTGGGGACACAGTTAAAATGCTATGCCCTGAATTATTTACAAACAGCGATCGCTGACTGCTTGTACCTGCTCTCCATCCTGACTCGCTGTCACAGGAGGTGTTCTGTAGTGAACTTAACAGGGCTGATAACAATGTTTGACATTTCAGCGCAGCATTGGCAGTTTATTATAGAAAGTTTGTAGCTCACCAACTTTGTGGCAGATCACCAGGGTTTTTTGTCTTAAACAGATATAACAGAACACTTTTTCCATGGTATATTTAGCAGACCAAAATAGAATAAACAACAAACTTTGCTAGGCTTTACATACAGTTCAAGCACACCCTTGCCTACAAGTACATCTCCATTTGTTTATGAAATATGGGTATCCGTATGATCAAATATTTCTTTTTTTTTTGCAGTAGCAATTGGTTGTTCAGATTGTTATCAAATAGAAGTTACCATATCTGTAAAACATCTAAAGTGATTATGATGTAATTACATAAAATATGGACTTTTTAATAGGACACTGTTGATTTTGGTTTTCCCTGATTCTTTTTTTTCCCCTGACAGGCTGATAGTCAAGTGGATCAGATGAGGCAGCATTTCTACGAGGTGTCACTGGAGTATGTTTTGAAAGTGCATGAAGTCCAGGAGAGGAAAATGTTTGAATTTGTGGAGCCAGTAAGTTTATTTTGTGTGTTTTTGATCCGTATCTTACAGAATTACTTTACACTTAATTGAGTAAATTATTTCATGCAAAGGGTTTCAAATAGTTTGTTTAATTGAAAAAGAAAATAAAAAGCAACTAAAAAAACACATGTATTTTTCTAAATTTCTTGTATAGAAAAAAATTGATTGTGCTTCCTTTGACAAAAAAAAACAAGAGGTGTAATCTGAGAATATTTGATTTACATTGGTGAACCTGTGCCCAGATCACGCACACTAAAGTATTGCATATTCAGAACAAGCAGTGAGGGCCGGTTCACACCATTTTTCAGGCCAGATCTGGAACATAGTGCATTGCGTTTTGCCGTGTTCCAAAGCTGTTTTAAAAAAAACTTAAAATAGCCTTTCAGGTGCGTTCCAGTGCATTTGCATATGTTTGTATGCGTTTGTGATGCATTTTCATGATTTCCAGCGCATTCCATACATGGAACACACTGCACTGGTGTGAATGGAGGCCAGAAATATCATAGGAATACATTGGGATGCATTTTGGGTCCGGAAACCGTCTGGTCTGGAGATCTGGATGTGGTGTGACTGGGCTCTAAAAGCACTTTAAAATAAACCCTCATTAATCTCTGTATCTAAAAGCATTATAAAGAAATTAAAGTAGAAGAAAAGACAACATATAAACAATAACCCAAATCAACTCTAAAATGT